TTATTTGACAGAGAGAGACACAGTGAGAGAGGGAACACAAGCAGGGGGAGTGGGAGAAGGAGAAGCAGGCTTCCAGCGGAGCAGGGAGCCCGATGCGGGGTCGATCCCAGGACCCTGGGATCATGACCTGAGCCGAAGGCAGATGCTTAACGACTGAGCCACCCAGGTGCCCCTAAAATAGTCTGCCTTATCTCCATTTTAAAGATGAAGAAGCTGAGGTTCAAGGCTTTATCCAAGCTTACAAGATTCAGGCCAAGGTCTGTGTGACTGTAAAGCTCATTTTCTTTCCATCATGATTGAGATCAGAATATAGAGGGGAGAGGTCATTTGGATTGAGTTTACCTCCATTTCTGGGCCCCACTTGTCTTAGAGGGTAGTCCTTTAGCTCTAAGATCATGTGACCACTATAATCATCACTATTTATCCACTTTGGAGATACTGGGATTTCTGCCAGATAACATTCACCAGATTCCCCCCAGCATGTCACTGTGGCTATTTTTCACACTGGCTTGGCCTAAATATCCGCTAGCCCATTTGTTAGCCCATCCGCTAGCCCAGCCTGACTACAGGGAGAGTTCCTTCAGCCAGGGTTGGATCAGTCATGTTCAGGCCTAAATGTAGAATGGAAGCCAGTGGCATGGAAGCACATTTTTTAATGAATAAAGGGTTTATGCATAGCAGGAGTTATAGTAGAGACCAGTCCACAAATCTACCTCCTAAAGTCAAGGAGCGCCACCAGGAATCTTATTTTTATAAATACCTCTTGATCCTCTGAGCAAAAATACTACAGGAATGTCAGGGCTGAGCAGGACACCGGAACTGACTTCAACAAAGATGTAGAGACAGAAACTGGCCCACCCTCTCATTATATCCCTCCTGGCCCCTGGAAGGGCTAGTTGACAGAGCAAGGAATCCTTAGAGACCCCCCCCATTCCTTCTCCCCCTGACTTCACTTGGAAGATTACTGGTATATCTATAGTCCATATTTAGGGGAATGGTCAGTGTTCACAGTGGGACAAGATGGTGGCATCAAATAACCTCCCGGCCTACACCATGAACCTGAAAGACCAAGGCCAAGGAGCCATAGTCCCATATTCATCCATTCAATCAACAGACATCTGCAGTTGGGAGAAACCACTGAAGTCGCTGAAAGAGCCAGAGCTTCTCTGCAGTGCAGAGCCTGCTGAGTCACAGTGGGGACTGCAGAGAAACTGCAGGAGACTGCCATGGTACCCAAGGGGAGTGGGCCCATCATGTTTTTATGTTTCCCATGTGTGGTCCCAGAGCTTCAGGAGAGGCGGAAAGAGAGGGTTGACGGAAGATCACACTCTTCTGCAGGGAGAATCAGGAGAATACACTGGGGCCAATGGGAAGGGCAGCACCCACATTCTTTGTAGTCATGCACATCTATTCTATAGATGGTAGACAGAGTGAGTCTTCTCTAATACCTGTCTGATCACGTCATCCTTCCCTGACTCTCAATTGCTCTTGGAATTAAGACTACACTCATTACTTTGGCCTACTGTAAGCCCAACTTATTCCATGTGCCTCCCCTCCATACTCTGTGGAGCTCAGAGTGTGATTATTTTATAGCCTATAAATGCCATGACTAAATTCCTGTCTCTTCATTCACCATTTTATATTGCACTTAGGTTATTTGCCTGACATAGATGGTGCTCAACCGGTATTGGTGGGTGGGTGGGTGGGTTTGCACTTAGGTTATTTGCCTGACATAGATGGTGCTCAACCGGTATTGGTGGGTGGGTGGGTGGTTGATGAGTGACTGCCTGAAGACACAATATTCTAGCAACAGAGTTAGGCAAGTGCTAGAACAAATCACTTCTGTGATTGTAGCCCAAGCCCTTATTTTCCCCATGGTTGGGACAGCATGAGAGACAGGGCACAGATCAGACCCCAGTGTTAAAGGTTAACAGCAACAAGGGCTTCCATCAAAGACTTACCAACAGACATACCAACAGAAGTGTTTTACTAATTCAGATGGGTTTTAGAAAGAGGTGGGAAATAGGTCAACAATTGAACATAAAATGACATTTCACTCATCATGTAGCCTTAAAATGACTCGGAAGAACACCACCAACTAGATTTTTCAGTTCCCTCCCTTTTACAGTGATGGTACAACCCAGGGTCAAGAAAATGAGGTGGCAGTCCTCAGCGAAATAGGCTTGCCCTCTGCCAACAGGATGCCAGGCAATCCAATACATCAAGAGAGGTTTTATGAGACAGCCTTGGTCAGGGCTCACTGCCAAGTAGGTTCCAGTCACCGCCCTCAGTGGAAGAAAAGCTGATCTCATTTCTGCTACCACTGGATATGTGACAGTTTTCATTTTGGTTCTTTCCCTGTCGTGGTAGGCTTCACACAAGAGTCTCCCTTAAGATGGACTTTGAACATAGCATACCTTGGGGGAGCATAAAAAAAGGACAAGCGGTGAGGAAGGCAGGGCACCTGAGTCAGAGTTGGTGAGGATTAAGTGCAACCTGCAATGCTCCTTGGGAATAAGGAAGTCCCCCCCACTTCCCCTGATAATAAAAAGGACAACGTTGGCACCAGATTTAACGAGATGGCAATAAGGAACTACCAGCACCTGTGATCTGAGCTCCTACTGGTGAAAAGACCCATGGTCTAACATGGGTTCATTATCTAAACAGACTCATGCAAAGGCATCTAATAGAGCATTACCATCTTTTAACTGTAGAATTTTATGACTAAGCATGAGAGTGATGTTGTTTACAAGGAAGCAGTTTTTTGTTGTATTCTCCAGTGCTGGTACATCAGCAACATGCTAACTGTTGGGCCTCCCCTTGGATCCTCAGCCCCACAGATGAGCAAATGTTGCTTAGAAGACCAGCCGTGGAAGCCCTAGCACTATGTGGTAGAGGGAAAGATTTAACCCATTTTCCATGAGTTTTGCTCTTGACTAAGCTCACTCTCTACACTGGAGTAGGTGGTTTATTTTCAACACAGGATTTTCACAATTATTATCTCAAGCTCTTACTGTCTCCTACTTACTAAGAAGTTCTATTTGAACAGAACTTTTTTCTTTTTTTTTAATATTTTATTTATTTATTTGAGAGACACAGAGATAGCAAGAGAGAACATGAGCAAGCGGGAAGGAGGGAGAAAAGCAGACCCCCCACTAAGCAGGGAGCCTGATGCAGGGCTCAATCCCAGGACCCTGGGATCATGACCTGAGCCAAAGGCAGAGGCTTAACCAACTGAGCCACCCAGGTGCCCCAAGAAATTCTGTTTGAAAAAGAATTTATTTTGAATGTTTCCACTTTTTAAGAGTCAATATTAATTATCTAGGGGATGAATTACTCCGTTTCGAAGCTTATGCATGGTAAAAACAATAGAATTTTATTTGGGAGAAAATAGAATGAGAATGAGCCAGTAAAAAAAAAATAAAAATTAAAAATCAATAAGTCAACATAGGAGATGTAGAAAAGGAAATTGTTTGAAATTGTATGGCAACCTTTAGATGTCAAATTTTGTCTACAGAGACCTGGGCTGTTGAGACAGAAAGAGCCCAGAATATAGGTAGTTGTGAATTCCAGTAACACACACTTGGGGCCTAGAGCCAGAGTTCTTATCCTAGATGCTCAGAAGAATCACCTGGGGGCTTTTACCAGTATTGAATACCCACAGTGTTCAAGCACTGGCGCCGGAGATTCAGATCTAGTTCTTCTGGGGCAGGTCATCAGTATTATTCATAAAGCTCCTCAGGCGGTTCCACTGTGAGCTAAGACTAGGAAGCCCTGGGCTAAGAATGGAAGATACAGGCAAGGAAGGAAGGCGAGAGATGGAGACAGAGACAGGGAGAGAACACACAGCGGGGCATACATTCTCCACTCGGCTCAGAGACCAGCAAGGACAACAAACCCACCGTAACCATTAAATGTCTCACTGAGCAATTTATGTAATGTCTGGTGTTCATGAAGCTAATGTACTTAGAGCACTTTTACACTTCTGGACTGTGTCTCTAAGTACTGGAGGTAATTTTAACTGCTAAGCTTATGTTAAATTCATTTCCTAATAGTCACGTTTGATATTATCCACAACCTCTTCTCTCATCATTCTGGTGAACTGAGAGGTGACACAAGAGATCATATCCACTTACTTTAATTCCTTGTAATCCATAGCCAGGAGCACCAGGAGGGCCAGGCAAGCCTTTCTGCCCAATATCTCCCTGTTGGAAGACCAAGAGAAATTGAAGTATGAGAAGATTTAGGAAGAAACAGTGTATTTCTGCTCTTGGCTTCCTTCTTACTTTGGTCTGATCAGGACCTAATCTATGCACCCTATGAAGTTATATCATATCTTATATAAAGCAGTGTTTTTCCCCCAATTTTAAGCCACAGAACTCTTGCAAAAATCTTACGCATAATCCAAATACAAGTAAAAAGGCAAGGCAGAGCTGCTTGGCCTAAGCGGAAGCATTGGCCCGGGAGCCTTGTCCCCTCTAGCTGTCCCACCACCAACCCCCACAACACCAGGGGTGTGAAGACCACTCACACATAATCCTGTGTAGCCTCTACTGTGTTTCTCCATTTCCATAGGGAGTGCTATTCACTGGCGTTGCAGCTAAAGATTCAGTGGATCAGTATTGAATTTTTAAGAAAATAGGTAAATAAAGCAAAAAGTACCTCATTTCCCAATATGTGTTTTCTACAGCATGAGTGAACTCCGTGCTTCTTGAGGAAAGACTTCTGTGGTCAAATGAGATTGGAAAGTGTTCTACACCATGTGTGTGCCTCTCCTTGGAGATCCCTAGTGCATACAAGCGTACCTTATTTCCTTGTGCTTCACTATTAGGCTTCCCAGATACTGCTTTTTTACAGACTGAAGATTTGTGGCCATGCTGTGTTAGGCAAGTCTATCTGTGCCATTTTTCCAACAGCATTTGCTCACTTCCTGTCTCTGTGTCACATTTTGGTAACTGTCACAATATTTCAGGCTTTTTCATTATTATTGTATTGCTTATGGCGATCTCTGATCAGTGATCTTTGATGTTACGATGGTAATTGTTTTAGGGCACCATGAACAGCACCCATTTAAGACAGCAAACTTAATCACAAAGGTTGTATGTGTTCTGATTATTCCAAGAGCGTTCCCCTGTCTCTCTCCCTCCCCTCAGGCCTCCCTATTCCCTGAGACACAACAATATTGAAATAAGACCAGCTAATAACCCTACAATGTCCTCTAGGTGGTCAAGTGAAAGGAAGAGTCACACATCTCTCACTTTAAATTAAAAGCTAGACGTGATTAAGCTTAGTGAAGAAGACATGTCAAAAGCCAACACAGGCCAAAAGCTAGGCCTCTTGCACTGAACAGTTAGCAAAGTTGTGAATGCAAAGGAAAAGTTCTTGAAGGAAATGAAAAGTGATACTCCGGTGAACTCAAGAAGGATAAGAAAGCAGAACAGCCTTACTGCTGATAAGAAGAACGTTTTAGTGGTCTGGGCAGATCAAACCAGCCATAACTTTCCCTTAAGCCAAAGTGTGATCTAGAAAAAGGCCCTCACTCTCTTCAGTTTTATGAAGGCTGGGAGAGGTAAAGAAGGGGCAGAAGGTTTGAAGCTAGCAGACTTTAGTTCATGAGGCAGGAAGTCCTCTCTGTAACATAAAAGTACAAGGTGAACAGCAGGTGCTGATGAAGCTGCAGCAAGGTGTCCAGAAGATCTAGCTCAGAGAGTAAATGAAGGTGACTACACTAAACAACAGACTTTCGGCGTAGGTGAAACAGCTTTATATTGGAAGAAGATGCCATCTAGGACTTTCATAGCTAGAGAGAAGTCAGTGGCTGGCTTCCAAGCTTCAAAGGACAGGATGACCGTCCTGTTAGGGGCTGATGCAGCTGGTGACTTTAAGTTGAAGCCAGTGCTCATTTACCAGTTCAAAAATATGGGGGCCCTTGAGAATTATGCTAAATCTACTTGGCTTATGTTCTATAAGGAGAACAACAAAGCCCGATGATAGCACATCTGTCCACAACATGGTTTACTGAATATTTTAGACCTACTGTTGAGACTTACTGCTCAGAAAAAAAAAAAAAAAGACTGCTTTCAAAATATTAACAGTGCACCTGGTCACCCAAGAGCTCTTGGTGGAGAAGGATGACTAGATTATGTTGTTTTCCTGGCTGCTAACACAGCATCCATTCTGCAGCTGATGGATCAAGGAGTAATTCTAACTTTCAAGTCTTATTTAAGAAATACATTTTGTGAAAAAAAAGGTGAAGAATTATTGAAATGACAACAAGGAATTTAGGATATTACATAAAATTAGTTGATAAAGCAGTGGCAGGGTTTGAGAGGAATGACTCCTATTTTGAAAGAAGTTCTATTCTGGGTAAAATGCTATCAAACGCATGCCACAAAGAGATTGTTTGTGAAAAGAAAAGTCAACAAGGTCCAAACTTCACTGTGGTCTTATTTTCAGAAACTGCCACAACCACTCCAACCTCCAACAGCCACCAACTTCATCAGTCAGCAGCCATCAACATGGAGGAAAGACCCTCCACTGGCAAAAAGATGACTACTTGTGGAAAGCTTGGATGATGGTTAGCATTTTTAGCAATAAAGTATTTTTAACGAAGGTATATTCTTTGGTTTTTTTTAGACATAATGCTATTGCACCCTTAATAGACTAGAATATAATGGTAACATAATTTTTATATGCACTGGGAAACCAAAAAATTCATTGGACTCTCTTTATTGTGGTATTTACTTTATTGTGGTAGTCTGGACCTGAACCTAAAATGTCTCCAAGGTATGCCCATAGAAATATATTAAAACCTCTAAGAAGTCCCACAATAGAGAGATTAGTTTAACTTTGTTTATTCCAGAAGTTCCTAATTAACATTTGATGGAACAAGCTTTGAGAAATGTTGGATTAATATGAGTTACTATATAAGTCAGCTTTTTTTTCTTTCCACTACAGAAAAAAAAGCTTTATTTTTTCCTAATTGTAAGAGGAACACCTGCTCATTGAAAAAAAATTAAAGATGACAACGACAAAGAAAAGAATAGACCCTTCTTTCCACCACCCAGTGATAACAACTACTAACATCTTGGGAGTATCTTCATCCATGTAAAGTGATCCACACAGTTAAGAAATCACCTACTGCCAAAATGAAGTCGATGGACAAAAAAAGATAAACTAAGAATCTTGGTAATTCTGGGATCCTCAGTAAAATCTTTGACTCATGGGGCCTTTGCCCTGTCCTCTCTGAATATGAGGCTCTAATTCACTTCTGTGCATTTTGGTCATGAACATATGGATTTGAAATTTGAAATGAGTGGCTTACTGACACCCATTTGCCCTATGAACATGCCTGATACTTCTTTACTTCGGTTTTTGAACAAATCAAAGAATTATTTGTTGAACACGTGAATCAACAGTTAAAACAGGACTTCTCGACCTCTGCACTATTCCCATCTTGAGCTGGATAGCTCTTTATGATGGGGGCTGTCCTGTGCACTGTAGGATGTTTAGCAGCATCCCTGCCCCCTTCCCACTAGATGTCAGTAGCGCTCCTCCCCCCACTGTGACACCCAAAACTGTCCCAGACATCCCAGATGTCCCCCCTGGGGCAGACCAGGGAAGACAAGATCTCCCTCACTGAAAAACACTGGATTATAAGAAAGAAAGGATGAATAATCACCAGATTGGAGATGACAAAAGAAAGAGAAATGGAAACGAGAGCAAAGGGAGTTCAAGAAAGTTTCTCTCACTTCCATGGGGACAATAAATGTAGACCCTTGCCCTGAGGCCCTGACAGAGTGGACTATGCACATCTGACAACAATAGTTTACCGGGCATTCTGTTAAAAGACCAGCTGAGGTACCTTGACCAGAGTCAAAATGTGTCTCCTTAATGATGGCCCAGCCTCCAAGAAACCTGGAAATATTTTGAGCATTTTGCAACCACTTTCTTAAGAGACACTTTCTAATTTCTTTTGGGGAAGTAAATGGCTTCATACCCGTAAATGATCTATTTTACTGAAAGCTACATAATATGAGAAAAGAAGACTTTTCGTCAGCACTCAAGAAAAAATAAGTCAACACTAAAATAAACATGTGCTGTGAAGTTAATGTTCACTCGGTTGGCACAGATGGTATCTGACCTTCACACAGAGCACAGACGTAAAGACTCACCTTTGGCCCTTGGGTTCCTATGCCCCGAGGCCCAGAGGGGCCTGGGGGGCCTCTGACACCAGGCTCTCCCTGAAAAGACACAATGAATGACAAGTTACTGATCTAAAACACAAGACGAAAAAAATTTTAAGTTGTATAGTTTATATAAAATGTCATATTTCATATTAAAAATATTTTATATAAACTTTCATACATAAAATTATATTTTAAAACCCAAACCCTTGAATTTGACTAAGATATTAATTGAGCCCTTTTCTCCCAGATCACTTTCCTATACTTGACAAAGGGAGTGTTATTGCCTTTTGTTTTCATTTCTTATTGCCACTTAAGTAATCTTCCAGCCAACTGATATGGGTCCATTTCAAAGCAATCAAGTCAGTTAACTTTTGACAACCTTAAAAGGTACTTTTTGCAGAACTCCCTTTGCTGGAATTTGGAAAAGAGCCGCCATTGTGAGTGGAGGGAGAAACAAGGAACAAGAATAAAAAGAAACCATTGAAAGCTATAAGCCCATCCTGAACTAGTTGCTCTTACTGTTTCATGCAACAAAAATGATGCTACTTGGGGTTGAGGATGAGCTTTGAGATACTTCTTCCCTAAAAGCAGTTGCACCTACAGGATAAGTTCTCTACAAGCTTTTGAGGTTCCCCCAAAGTCTTTTGGAACAGGCAGGTAGCCCAGGAAAGTGGGGGGGGCCTGACTAGGGTAGCTCAGGTCCTGTGCTTAGATCTATGTGAGATGTGAATGATAGGAAGAAGCAGAGAAATGAAAATCTCTTCATTAGCCACCTTTTATGTACTCGGAACTCTACTATGCATGTTCATATAGGCTTTTGGACATAATTTAGCACTCACGACAACCCTGTATTAGAGCGATGCCCAACTCACCTAATGTCTCTGAACCTCAGCACACTCATCAGATACATAGAAATCATACTTACATTTCCTGGGGATGACAGTGAAGTTAAGACAAAGAATGTGAGTGTCTCTGTCACAATGTCTATCACAATGTCTAGACACTGTGATAGACACACAATTTATTGTATTGTGACCACATAATACACAATACACAAATCTATTGAACAATGTGTAAACACAGTTCAATAGATTTTGCCCAGAACCATTTGATGTTTAATCAAAAATAATTGTCTTCTTTGCCTGGGTGCTGTGAACCTCACCCCAGATACAATGGCTCGCTCTCTTGTGCCACTGTGCCTATCTAGCTGAGTAAACACTTGGGAAATATTAATGCCTCACCCCAGCTGGTTTTGGGTTTTTTTTAAGATTTATTTATTTATTTTAGAGAAAGAGAGAACAGGAGCGGGAGGGGCAGAGGGAGGAGAGAATCTCAAGCAGACTCCATGCTGAGCACAGAGCCCAGCGTGGGGCTCGATCCCAGGACCCTGCGATCATGACCTGAGCTGAAGCCAAGAGTCAGATGCTTAACCAACTGAGCCACCCAGGTGCCCCCACCCCAGTTGCTTTATTAAAGAGGAAATTAAAGTTAGCCTAAAGCTGCACAGCTACTGAAAAGCAGGACTAGGCGGACATGGAGAAGAAGGAACACTCATAAGTTACTGGTACAGCCACTTTGGAAAACAGTTTGGCAGTTTCTTAAAAAGTTCCACATTGATTTACTGTATACTAGTAATTTCACTCCTGTACCCAAGGGAAATGAAAACATATGTCCACACAAAGACTTACATATAAATGCTCTTAGTAGAATTATTCATAATAGCTAAAAACTAGAAACAACCTAAATGCCCAGCAACTGATAAATGGATAGACAAAATGTGGTATATTCAGCAATAAAAAGGAACAGACCACAGCGACAAGCTACAACATGGATGAACCTCAAAAGCTTTATTCTCAGTGAAAGAAGCCAGATCTAGGAGACCACATATTTGATTCCATTTGTATGAAATATCTAGAAGAGGCAAATTTATAGAGACAGACAGTAAATCCATGATTGCCTGGGACCAGGAATTGGAATGAGGACAGGATTAACTGTAAATGGGCATAAGAGATTTTATTGGGGGGAAGAAAATGTTCTAAAACTGATTTATGGTGAGGTTGTACAGCTTGCTAAATTTCCTTTAAAAATCATTGAAATATATACTTGGAGTGGGTGAGTTCTAGGATATATAAAATATGCCTCAAAAAAAATTATAAAGGAAAAGAAAAAAAAAAAAAAGGAAGAAATGAAAGCCAGGCTTTGAAGCTAAATCTCCCAAGCTCTTTGCCTGAGGTCCCATTTCATCCATGTTTTGTTAGGATCTAAATAGCTCCTAGATTGCAACAGTGCAAAAATCATGGATTATAAGAAATGATGAAATTGTTTATCTAGCAAAACAGCCCATCCTTATTTAATTTTACTTTCTACTTATAAATCCTAAAGAGAAAACAAGGCCTTAAAAGAAAAGGAAAAGATTTAAACTTTATTAACGACTTAATTCTTTTAATCTCTAATTTCATAATTACCTATTTCCCTTGTGCCTGCAAGCCACTTTTTTATTCTGGTCTACTGTCTCCATCTCTTCCACATAGTAGATAGCTGCTTTTGTGACCACAGGTACTAACTATCTCTCTAACACCTCTCTCCTTCTGATTACCAACTTGGACCCCAAGTTTCTCCCAGCTTAAATGATCACTCCTATCATCAAGAGCTCCAGGTAGAGAACATGACGTGTCCTGTACCACATACATTTCTGTTGTCTCTCTTTTCTTGAGTCTCTTTACTCAAGATACACCTTTAGAGGGAGTATCTGTAAGTTCACTGGGGGAGAGTTTCCAGCTATACCTGACTGATTCACACACTTGCTGCATTTTGACACCCACCAGCAAAACAGAACCCAGGTAAACACAGTTCGATAGATTCTAGCCAGAACCATTTTTTTAAAATCCACAAACAATATCCAATAAAAATCTCACCAGTAAAGGTAAGGAAAATTTGCCGTGATGTTCACCATTGATAAGGAGAAGAATACAAGATTTTAAAGATAGAAAGACGGGCAAAGGATGAAAGCACACAGGTGGATTCAGTATCATCAGATCTTACATGTCTTTCATGCATTCTTGGTATGTCCCAAATGTTACATGCCTTTTAAAAATTAAGAATACAGAGACAAGGTAGGAGATTTTTTAATTGAGTAATATTTCTTTTAAGAAAGAATTCGACACTCTACAATTCAATTCATGATATTTTTCTTGTGATGATTTTAGTTAAAACTTCCTTCTCAATTAGTATTAATCATACTAATACACACACACACACACACATACACACTGAGCCCAGATGGGAAAGCAAGTGGGAAAAACAGTTGAAATAAGTTGTGAGTGAGTGTACTTTAGGCCAGCCTTGTCCATGCTCACTATTGCTACTCATTCTCTCTCTTCCTCAGTTTCCCTAACGCTCATCACGTAGGAGTGTCTGAGGGCCGAGTGTAGACTTTGTGGACACCTTACTGCCCTTTCTATCCTTGAACATTGGCCAGTGAACTTTTTTTTTTTTAAAGATTTTATTTATTCATTTGAGACACAGAGACACAGGGAGAGAGAGAGCATGAGCAATGGGAGAAGCAGACTCCCAGCTGAGCCAGGAGCCCGATGTGGGGCTCGACCCCAGGACCCCGGGATCATGACCCGAGCTGAAGGCAGACGCCTAACCATCTGAGCCACCCAGGCACCCCGGCCAGTGAACTTTGATAACATGTTTCTCACATCACCTGTGGTGCTACAGTGTTTTCCTCAAATAAGCTGTCCATCTTTATCCATATAATTGTTGACGTATAGCCATGTTTTATCTATCCAAATAATCTTTTGTTATCTTTTGACCTAGGCAAATAGAACCTGATATATGCATTTATTTATCTGATAGACTTTAAACCGAGTCTTAGCTTAACATATTCTGCAGACGTTACAGTTGGTCATAACATGGTTTTAGGGTTGTTCCTTGGTGTTTCTGTACCCTACTTTTTAATAGATGGGAATATCAGGCACTTAATGAGCTATGGAAATCCACAGAGACAGGGTCTCTCTACTATGGTGCGGTCTTGAAGATGTATTATGTCTTTTGTTCCACGGGCCATGTGCCCGTAGAAGGCCACAACGCCGGGTGAAGGCATACAAGAGGACCATGGTCCGGACTCACTTCACCATCTGATAGCACCCGGTCTGCCACACGCAGCACCACGGGTACCTATGAAGAGCGTTCACCATGACACGTTCAGACATGTGGTTCTATTGTCAGTGGATGGCGTGACAATCACAAATAAAAGGAATTACGACAGGCACTTGCACAGCTGGACTTAGCTTCCCATGCAGGAGCTGAGAGTTACTGGAGCCTGCAGAGGGAGCCCTTGCATTAGGAGATAATAGTCAGCCCTGAAAGCAAATTCTGGAGTTGCCATTTTTTACTATATCCATCAATTTCGTAAGACCACATAGCCTAAATCCTACCCCTACCCTCCACAAAACAAACAAACAAACAAAACTATTTAGATTACCCAGAGCTTCCTCTTGGCCCACAAAAGGAATTCTAGACTTGAGATACTCCTTCAAGTTTTTCACAGGAAATGGCCACTTTAGAACTAACTCCCTGCAGCACTTGTATATGTGAATTTAACAAATGATTCAGTGAAGGTTTTACCTAGACTGTAATCTTGCAGAGTGGTTGATTTCAACCCCTTTAACATCATACATAATCTTATGATGGTCCTGGTAATCATTCATTGATTAATATCACAAATTTCACTTTTTAAAAGGAAGGAAAAGAAACCAAACACACTATCACATTCATTCTTTTTTTCTCATTGGTAAACCTTTGCTTTGGTTAACATTAAAATTATCATAATTAATAATATAAATAATAACATTTATTAAATTTATTATGTGGCATTTTTCATTTATTATTCGATCCTATCAACATCAACTTACTTCATTTTATAGCTAAGGAAACTGAGACTTAGAGATAAGGATACATGATTTCCCAGAAACCATGCAGCCAGCAGCAATTCAAACCCAGGTCAACTCCCGAGCTCATCTCCCTTCTTGGTGTTGGCTGGAGCTAGA